AGGCCTGCTCCCACCTACGTAAAAGCGACTCCTGCTTTCTGCTGCAGTGGGGATTCTGAGCAGGAAGTTTTGCTTTTCATTTCATGCCAATTTGATCAACAGTGTTTACTGAATACCCCTGGTGTACAGAGAAACGACATTCCTAGGTCTGGAGGAAAATGCCGTTCGTAAGGGACTCTGGGCCGCTTGACATTCAACAAGCATGAAAAATGCCTGCTGTTTGGACACTTAGCTTTACTACATCCTGAAATCGAGATCTCCGTAAAATTCCTCATGAACTAAGCAGTGATTGCTCCCCCTCCCCAATATCAATGAGCAGATTTTAGACAAGTGTTCCCACAAGCAACCTGCGTAGCAGATGTTGAGTTAAAATTGCAATATCTATTATGTCTGTGAACAGAACAGTTTTGTAGTTTCAATTATGTTAGTGCCACTAACACAACGCATTTTCCCCCCTTAAAATGCATTTTGAAATATTTTACAAATGCCTAATAATGCTTTAAATATCTTAGGCCGTAAAACTAAATAAGCCACACTTAGGGGCACATAAATATCGTGGATAACCTTTAACATCTTAGGGGTATAAAAAGCTCTTTATAGCTGGGCTCTAAAATTTACATGCTTTAAAGTTATAAATCCTGGCTCTCCCTCAGGCAACCTGAATACAAAATGTGATGGAAGCCTCGTGTGCTTTCTAAATGTGCTCCTTTTCTGACCTTTAATCATAAACTGAGACTAAACATTTCTTCTCAAAATAAAATTAAAACCTTAGGTGGCAAATAGGCTTTCTTGGCGATTTTTGTATTCTTGTTTAGTTTAGTCTGCATGGTTGGGGAACAGGAAGTGGAAACTCACAATCATCAGACATCTGCTTTGGGACCCTTACTTACGCTGCTTGTGTGATCATTTCCAATCTGCACCACTCTGGATCCTAGAGTGGGTGAAATTTCTGGACAGCATTGTACAGATGCAGGACGTTCGCTGCTGCCACAGTTGTCCCTGGCATTTGTGCAGCCTCTTCACCTCTTTATAGGTGACGTTTGACGCTTAACTCACTAGAAGTTATCTCAGTGGTCTCAAGAATAAAGTGAGAGCTGGAACCTAGCCTCCCTAAGCCCGTCGTCTCACCCCAAAGAAGCCACAATTCTGCCTCCGTTTGAAGGATTCAGCCTGGGGATTTTTGTCTAGTCCATGGTTATTACCAGAGACGGTTGGAGAAGTTTCAAATCCACTGTAAAGCACCCGAATTTACAAAACATCTCTCAGATGACATGGTCTTAAGGCTCTTTGCTACACGGATAATAAAAGTAACCATCCTTGGCTGTTGGAGGCAAGCCTGACTTTGGATGGGAAATGGAAGGAGGTGCTTCCGACCCTTCCTTCCAGTGGGCGCCCAGCTGGAGCACATGGCATGGGACTTCCCCTGACTATTGAGAAAACGTAGCTTTTAGGCTTTTGCCTAAGAAGACTTAGCCAAAGGCTTAGTCAAGGCCCATTTCATTTCATTAGGTAAATAAAATACATTGGGACAAAAGAGACCTCCGAGTGGCTGAATCTCATACTTCTGGAAATACCAAAAAAGGCTGATATTGCATGGTAGTCAGAAAATAATCCCTGGGTAAGTCACATATCTCACGTGACATAATAAAAGTGCCTCCCCCAAATGGCACTCTTTGGGAAAATTTAATCATATGATTTAAAACAAATGAGGGGTGCTGATCCTTTAACAGTGGCTTGATCATATTGGTTTTTACTTTAGTTTCTAAATACTTTCCTGTAATTGATTTGAGCCTGATAAAAAACCCCCGGCGAGTCCTGTATCACAATCTCCATTTCATAGAAGAGGCTTATCCAAAACAAACCGGTAGTTGTTAGCAAAAAAAAAAAGTTGATTCTGGAATCCAGGTCATCTGACCACTTTCTAAAATGAATTAGCTTAAGGTACAAAGAATATTTTTGCAGTTGCCATCGATTCTTTTTGTAAAGCCAGACTTTCACATACTGACTTCACTTAGGTTAGAGTGTCTCTGCAGGGCTGTTACAGTCAATCACGAGAGAAAATATTCTTAATGTTCTAAATGTGAACAGAATTTGGGACAAAGGAAACAATTACCCCCTTGTATTTGAAAAGTGGGCAGCAGCTGGCCTTCTTAGAATGCTTATGCCCTCAGAGGGTGGGGAACATCTCCACATGAGGCTAACATCCTCTTCCTGCCCCCAGTACATACTGGTCCCTGGTGGGAGCCACGTTCAGTCCTACCCCCTTGCTATAACCCTTCGGAGCTGCTTCAGGCTCAGTCTGCTGGGGAAGTAAGTACAGCTCCCCGGTGTAAGTGCAGCCAACCCATCCTCTGCCCAGTACAAGCACAACCTGCTCCTCAGACAGCAGGTCCCAAGCTCACCACCTTCTCCAGGTCCGTCATTCTCATCCATCGAGCTGCAGACTTTGGTGGACGCGAGTGAAGTGGAGGAGCCACCATGCTGGGAGCTCTGTGGGGGAAGAGGAACAGAGGATAAAGATCGTCGGTCCGAGCGCCCGAGTCTCGAGGTACCGGGCCAGGCCCAGAATCTCGGGAGATTACTGCACCCACCACCAGGGAAGGGTTGGGCTTAACCCTCAGAAAGGGACGCTCTCACACGATTCAGTCAAGGCTAGCTCCCCCCTCCCCCCTATTAACCAACAATAGATGGTGCTAGCTGTGTCTGGCTAATCACTCTCGACTTGGACGTTCCATGACTTTTCATTTCTTATTTTCAAAACCAGCATCCTTTGGCCCGCTGTTTAGGTTGGGCAGATTTTAGGTACCTCACCTCACTCCTCCACAGTCTATCTGCAAATAGGTTTCAGGTAAGGTGTCATTCTGATCTCTCTTTTTTGTTTTTTTTTCCTATTCTTACCATAGAAAAAATGTTTCTTCCTTTTTCTATGGAATATCCTTTAAAAAACATTCAGCTTTGCCACATCCTTGGAGAAAGGTTAAAGAGTGGGTTTGTTAATTCCACTTTGAGATAAAGAAATAAGCACTCAGCAAGTCATCGACATGTTAAATATTACAGAACAACCAATATTTCCTTATGATTACCTTTATTCCTGAGGCAAAGACAGGACTGAACACCTAAGTTTTGTGAATCCTTTGTAATTTTGGTGTATTTGGACCCAAGACCCACGAGAGCAAACCAGGTAACGACTGTATTACAAAGCTCACGGGATGAAACGATACCAAACATTTAACACTGTGATCAGCCACGAGGCAGTATCTTTAACAATGAACATTTCCATCTCTGCATCGATGCCCTGAGAAAACAATTTGGACATTTCAGTGCTATTTCTAAACAGTGAACACAGCTTGTCCTAAAAGATCGTCCTTCTGTTTCCCTGGGTTTATCCACTTGGTTGGCCTGATGGGAGCCAGGAGGCGGTGAGGGGGCGGCCCTGGCTCGTGGTGCCGGCTGTCTGTGGAGCAGAGAGAAGGGAGAGAGCATCTGTAGTTGAATTAATAATGAAGAGGAGGCGAGAAGCAAAGTTGACCTAGTTTTCCTCTGCTTACCTGTCTCCTTTCAACCTCCTCCCGTTCCATCCAGCCTTAACTGTGCACAAAGTTGGAGGGGAGAGAAGTTTGACATACTTTCATTGTGCCCAACAGTATCTTGCATAGGAAATTCAAAGGTTTTAGTTCTCACCCAAAGGATGAAGATAGTTGGTCAATTGCTACTTAAGTCATTGCAGGGCCAGTTTCAGAACAACGTGCTAAGAAGAGCACGCACCACTGGACGAGTTCATCAAAGCTGACACAATCAGGATCAAAGCTAAATTCACGGCAGTGACGCATCTGGAAGTTTCGGGGTTACCCTAGTACACCACACCCCTGAAGGTCACCTAGTTTGTGTGGGGTGCCCTTTATCTTCCAGTTCCTAGGAACCCCCCATCAATCACCCTCGTGACTGGAGCTGTTTCCCATCCTCTCTCATTCAGCCTCCCTTTGTGACCAGCAGCACACACTTGTCCTATGTCAGGCCAGAGAGAGCGATTCAGATTGTGACCTTGACACAGACTTTTCCTTGGTGTGACACTAACTGTATAGTCATAACCAACCCTGTCGAAGGTACTGTAAAAGCATGAGCCTCTAAGCAGAGTGCTCTGCTGACTTTTATGGATGCTTGTTTGCGAAAATCTTGTACTTATGATATTGGAATACGAGGCTGAGACAAGGCAGATTTACAATGTCCAGGTCTGGAGAAAAGAAACACTGACACTATTACATTTGAGGGGCAGGTGTATGTTTTCTCCCAGAACAGGGAGATCTTTTATTCCCTGTGTCGTTGCTTTTGCTGTAGACGTAATGCTGTTCCAAGCAGAAAGGCCGTAAGAAAATGTCTAAAACGTAGACCTTCTCTTTTGGGCTTTCCAGTCCTTGAATTTCTTCCAGCAGCGCCACAAATGGTGTTTAATAATGTAGACACATTGTGGTCTGGGATGGCAGGTGCTGTCTTGTCATATGGTGTTTCAGATTTTAGAATACAAAGACACATTCCTTCAGAGTCAAGCACGCAAATTAACAGACTAGAAGCGTGTTTCCCAGCAAAGATGTCCACAACTTATGTACTCCATTCCAAAATCGTGTTCTTTTAATAAAAACATCAGATACTCAATACAGAACTCTGACCCAGATGATATGAAAACATCTTTTAAGCTGTAATGTTTTATAAACTTGCTGGTATTATTCACTAAACTGCCTTATCAACTAATGAATTGCATTTTCAATGTGAGTTGCATTTACAATACCAAACGTCTGATGCCCTGAATGCTTGCCACAGTGCCAGCTGTGTTTTCTCTGCCTTATGAACAAAACCCCCTCCTGATTTTTAGGCTCTGGCAAAAAAGAAAAAAAGAAAAAAAAGTAGGGTTAACACAAGTCTGCTTATGTTTAAAATTGCTTATTTTCAACTTTAGGTTTGAGAGTGTACTTCAAGTCATATCAAATTCCATGCTGTCTGATGGCACCAGAAAGAAGAACATTTAATTTCAAATAGGGAATTCTGAAATGAAAAGTTATCATTTTATTTCTTATGCCCAAATACAGCAAAATAAATGTATTAAATTTCCAATGGTGTTATCTCTTCTTTCTCCCAAAGAAGTAAGATAGTTAACATTAGACACTTATCCAAGACAATGACCATTCATGGATTCAAAGAATTTCAGGGACTGAAATGGACCTCACAGATTATCTGTTCTACCCTACTTCCAAAGAGACCTACAGAGACCAAATTCCCACTACAAAAATCCCAGCCCAGTGGTCAAATGGCCTCTGTCCAAAGACCTCCAGTACTAAACTCATTACTTCCTGAGACGGCCTCCTAACTGTTAATGAGGCAAAGAAAATTCTTCCTTGGGTTAATGTCCGAATGATGTCCCTCTACGTTTTCTAGTTTTCGTTCTTAGTTCTCATCTCTGAAGCCACCTAGCACAGGTCTAATTCATTTCCCAGTGCAACGATGCTGTAGATATTTGGAAATAGCTACTGGGCTTTTTCTGTGTCTTCTCTTTTTCAATGTCAATATTCCCAGTGTCTTTGGTCATAAGACAGAGTTCCATGACCCCTGACCTTCCAGGTGTCAGTATCTCTGATTAATGCTGGTGCTCAAAACACATGCAATATTCTAGGTGTACCCTGACCAGCACAGAACAGAGCGTTCTTCCTTGTGAATTGAATGTTAATGCACTTTGAGATCATACTGATTTACCAGTAACAACGTAACTTTTAAGCCTACACTAAGTTCACACTGTGTCAGATCTCCCTATCCTATATCTGAAAGGCTGGTGTTTTGGATCAAGTCTAAGACTTCTCATTTATTCATAGTAATGTCACATTTATTACATTCATATCCTGCCAGCCTGTCATTTTTTTGGATTCTGATTCAGTCACCTAACATTTTTGCTCTCTCCCAGCTGAAGTCATTCATTAATCACCATCGCCCTTTGTGTACACTCGTTGCTAACCCTAAACATACTGCCTTAGTGTGGGAACATTTTGATTATTGCCCATAGGTCCAATTAAAGGATTGTAAAAATAGTAAAGGGAAAACATGCAGGTTCTTGTCCTTTAGAATTAATCCAGTGAAGTGGATCAGCCTTTATTTGTGACCTACAGAAGCTGAAAAGCCTACTTATATTTTTTCATGCTTATAAATGAAATCAATTTACTTATATGGTTTTTCTGAGAAGATAAACCATTTTATAGCATGTATGGTGATAAGATTTTGTGTTGCTTCTGTCAGTTTGCTAATTGTAAGGCATATGAGTGTACAGTGCAAAACATAGTTATTTTCAAATTTAATGCAAATAGCTGCGCTAAGAGGTCTTGTGACATTTGAAATGTCATCACCTCCAAGCAGATTTAATGGGAACCAGGTGGACAGGTTGCTGGCACCTGGATGCTTTTACGGCACACCTTCATAAAAGCACTGCCCGAAGTAAGAACACACCCTAAGTGTAGCTATTTAGCTTGGGATCACATAACAGATGGAGAACATATCACACTTTTTGAAGTAAGTGAGAAAACTGACATAACAGCTCTAACCACATTTTACCAAGATGTATCGACCATGTAGGAAAAAACAGTCTGTTTCAAATATAAGTGGTATGACCTACTCCTGTCATTTGTATTAATGGTGTCACTCAGCTGGGGTCCACACTGAATAAAGATCACAAAAATATCCAATCAACCCAACTGATTTAATCAAGGTAGAAAAATCTCACCAGGTAACTCTTGCTTTGTCTGGATAACTGTATTATTTCCGCTTCACATTTTGCCTTGGTATACAGTTATTACTGTGTTAAGATTTATTTGGAAAATGACAAACAGAGAATTTAGAAATCAACTGATCAATTTTATAAAGGAAACACAACCAACAGATACTTAACAAACTCAAACAGTTGTCTCGGTGATCCTGACTTGAGATCTACAGAGTCTCTAAAGATGACCTCATATAACAAAATTAAATCATAATCTTGGTGTAGACAGCTTGAAATCCAAGGGACTCTATGTGTATATAGAAAAACCATACATTTATTTACTTTCCAAGTGGGTACGGACTAATAAGATGATGACATCAATCTGTAATAAGTAATAAGGCTCCATTTTTTGAGACAAGGCACAAGTTTTCCCAAATTTTCCAAATTTCTTTGTCTGCATTCTCCATAGCATGTTCAACCTAGCGTTTATGGTGTAGGCAGTCATGTGCATAACTCAGCATGAATACTGAAAAATACAAACGTTATCATAAAGATCTGGTCAAAGTTTTTAAAAGACTGTAGAACTGTTATTCATGAAATTGGGTTTACTTAGAGGAAGGGAAAATGAAAATGGAAATGTTGGCATTAAATCTGTTAGCGAAGCCATGGGAGCCAAGATTTCAAAAATAAACGTGTTTGGTTACAACTCTGTTGTATCAGGCAGTCTGCTCACTTAAGGCCAGGACCTATAAATTCA